TCTTTTTCCAGTTGTTTTAGGGCAGTTTGTTCAGATTTACTTAGATTGGATCCAGTAATCTGAAACTTTTAAACTTTGACAGCAGCTAATTTGGCGAAGTCTTGGATGGCTGTCTGGTGATCTATCAGATATGCTCGTTCAATCGATGTCGCAATTTCGAGAACTGGCACTTTGTCTGGAGCAGGGACAAAATTCAAACCTTTGGAGAGAACGGTTATATATACGAATATGAAAGCCGTCCAGTTGGATGATAGGATGAGCTGCAGAATTTTGCCTGATCAGAATAGATGAAAGTAGCATAAAGCACGAATATGTGACAAAGTCTTGGAGAGTATTTACGGTATCAAAACGGTTGTTGATGATCGTGATTCATATGAATCGCTAAAATATCATCTTAAAGCGTCTCATTACACTGTTTACCTCTTGACTCATGGGTGTGGCCAATGACTAGATGGCATTAGGATATTCCTTCTACTGCAATTGCTAACATATAAGACATAAAAATGCCTCGAAAGCGAGTATGCACGGGTGTTATGTGTTATTCTTTAGGTGTATTTTACATCGATTGGATAGAACAATTCATGGGTGGCATAGCTGCAGGGTAGCTCAGTATGAAGATGGTTGAGCTCAAAGTCGAAAGATAATCAAATTTCTGAATCCCCGGGGGGTTGGGATAGCAGGGCTACTTGCCTTTCATCCTTGTCACTTTCGGCAGCGTGTTCCACTCAGAGGAATAAAACTACACATCGTGGTCGAAATCCAGCTGCAAAAATACTGTAAAACTCCGTTATAGCGCGCCTCTCTAAACAGCGACTTGACTTTGTTGAAGATCAGGCTTTTTTTTCAAGTTGATTCTACATATTTTCCTCATAAAGGATTACGTTGAAGCTTTTTCAGCAGTAGCCTAGCGTCTGCGCTATCGTAAACGATCCCATCATGGCGAACTCCCTGCATAACGCAAGACGATGCTTATGATTGGTTATCGAAGAGAGACGACCATGCTGCTTTAAACACTGCCTCTAAATCATTTCAGTCTCTCGACACAATGAAGAGGTGTGTGAGTTTGAGACCCATGAAGTTTGGATTATTTTTTGAACTGCGTTTAAAATAAGCTGTATTCATTTTAATCTTTTTTAATATAGCGTTGGTCTGCAGTTCGAGCATTTTTAGGTCGATGGCCAAATCTTCTGGCACTCCTCACACTTTCATATCGTTCTTTACGGCATCGCACCATTTCTTTTTCGTCTCCCAGTTCTTTGCTTTTTTGGCAGTATCAGTGCTTGGGCACAATTCCAGCGTAACTCGTAGTAAGTTCTTTTCACGTGGCCTGACCAATCGCATGTGCATTTGATAAGCTTTTCTGTTATTGGTGTTACATCTATAGTATCCACATGAAGGTCTTTCGGATGTGGCTTTTTTCGTTCACATCACTCATCCGTCTGAGCATTTTCATTTCCAAGGAGTTCGGCTGTTGTTCGTACCTCTTCAGAGTAACGGAACATCCCCCTTCATACGCAAGTTCCGGTCTTAATATCCTGTCGTTCTATAAGAATTACATATCTCGTTATGCACCGCTGACCTCTCATTCACTTCCATTTGAACCCGCTTTTTTTCGACCAATTTCTTATATTCCACTCGCTAATTCCCTTCTTATTGTTTTGAAGAATACTCCCTGAAACGGGTGACGATGTGTCATCAGTCAGGACATGTTTTTCAGAAGAGTATAGCCGGATTCTTCCCCAGACAAAAAATCAGGGATGTTAATATCTATGTATTAAAGGAACGGAGAATGATTATAAAGATGGCTAGTTCGGTCAGCATGTGTGAACTGGCCATATACCGGGACTGTCAAATACCCTGACGCGGAACCGCCGAACCGAACGTGAAACTAATAGCTGTTGACCTCTACCAGCCTGAACCAGCCAATATTCAATACACTTCAAAATGGAATGACTTTCACACGATGCAATACAGATTTTGCATGTTTGTCCACAGATTCACCGACGGGTGGATGGTGGTTGGCTTGTTTCTGCTGCAACATGCTGTTGTTCATCGCACGTTTGATGCCCTGCAGAAATACGCTGGAGTACCATGAAGCCGTAGCCTGTTCAGATATCTTTTTACGATTACTTTAGGAACGCGGCGAGCTGATATATCGCTTAAATTAATTAATTAATTAACCTCATGTAATTAATTGTAATTTTTGTAACTTTAACGCTCATCGTTTATCTAATCGCATTGTCTTTGTTGAGGAATGCCGATGAAGCAAGAGAATGAATTCAGATGACGTGGCGAGCGTGTTTCATTTGCAGTGAGGGGTTACAACGGTAAACCAGTGCTACTCAGGCGGCGATCAGATGGATCAAGATGAATGGCTGGCGCGCACATCAAATTTCATAATCAAGATTTGCTCTCAGTTTTAATTGATAGATGCGAAACGTTGACGTTGAGCCTGAAACTCATTTATAAGTTACAGACTGCGCAATGCGGCACTGGATAGACGTACATCGGGAATAACAGGAAAGGATAGGAAAAGGAGTGAATGAATAAGCAGAGACAAGCGTGTGCGTTGTCGTTGCTCGAATAAAGAATTTAAAATGTCGTTGGACGGAATTTTGAGAAAAAAACTGGCCCTCGTTGGAAGAGAGGAAAATTAGAATATTAGAATGGGTTCCATGAGTCTGCAAGCGGTCCGGAAGAAGATCAACTGTGGATCAGGGGCAGGAAGGACTGAAGACCTTTTCTGGATTAAAACGGGTAAACTTCGCAGAAAACGAAAGTTCAGACGAACTTTCATCCATAGGTGGATCGAACATGACTGATGATCACGGTGACATTAGACAGCACGATGCTGTCGCTTGATCGCACCAGAAGACCAGGCTGTCCCTGTTGTTCGCTGATCAATGACTTGCTATCGATTAATTGCACAAAAGTACGGTAGGGTGAATTCGTTGCTCAAAAGAATTAGCAGCTATGCTTGAACATTTTTGTTTACACAAACATTTTGGCATAACAACGGATGACGAAGCATGTTATTGCACCGAGTGGCACGTGCACTTGCTTCTAGACATTTGGGGGAGGGGGGGAGCGTTGCATCTGGGCACCTATAGTGCATAGCTGTAGCACACCATCATCGAACACGGTAAACGCCAGGCAGGCACGTTTGCGAACAACCTCGAACTCGTAGCTCAAACAAACTACGTACTCATTCCAGCACTGAGTTAGCGGTTGCGATAAGAAGATTTTACGGTGATCTAGCGATCCTGCCGGACGTTTAGACGACATAGCGGATGGACCAAGCCCATTCCGTAACAGAAGAGGAAACAGCCACGCTGAAGCACAAGCTGACCTACGGATGATGAGGTGAAGGCCGTTCATTGAGCGTCAGCTAATTGCACTTACTTTCACATTTCGGGCCGACCCAGCCGTTCGCACAGATGCAGCTTTGGCCCTCAGCGCAGTAGCCTCCGTTCTTGCACATGCAGTTGCCTCCGACCAGAGCCACGAGAGCCGACGCGAGAGTTGCTGCTGTCAGGAGGCCCATGCCGTAGCCGTATGGAAATGCGCTTGTCTTAGCACTGATTCGATACGTTTCGACTGACTGAATCGCCGCCGCCACTGCCGCTGTCCCATTTATGCCAACGTCGTTCAAGACGTCATTCCAAACGAACCCTGTCAACCGTGACTGAACGCGGCACGGAACTTTTTGCCACGTCGGTCGGTTTCTTGTCGTCGCTGTGGCACCATCGATTTCAGCAAAGCCAAGCTCAGGAAACGAGCCCTGAGTTCGCTCGCCTCCGTCTACCGCTTTGGCAACGGTAGCGTTGCGCGGAAGGTACTTCCTGGGAATCCGGTTACCGTACACTACTTGTTAATCAGGCTCCAACCTCAGGTACTTCCGGTCCGAATCCGGTAGCCGAGGGCAACGGACTCGGCGTTACGGCGACAGCAGGATAGAGAAATCTCCATGATCAAGATTAAGAGTATCTTTTTGCCTAGAACGCCGATCGCGACCGTGTCGACTAAATGGGACGAGCACCCCGAAAATGACTGACGGCAGTTGCGTTCACTGAAAAAGGTTTCGCTAATATGCACCTAAACGTTTTGCATCGCAAGCAGATACCGTTTAACGTTTTTAATGTTCCTTTTAACTTAATGATTAGTCGGATTGCCTGTTCATCAATGAGCAAAATATGTCAGTGGGACAAATTCTTTTACCTGAAGATCAGGTGACGATGTGGCATCGATGTCAGGTGGTACAGTATTTTCAAAACCACATGAATTGCGCGATGCATCAGTAATGAGCTCTGCCGCATGAAATCTATTCGTCATTCGTGTCTGTAGACATGGTGGCATCTAAGTCACCAGTTTGCTAAATAAATCGAACGAAACCAAAAACATGACAATACAGACAACGCACATGCAGTGTTAATACTCTCAAATGCGGTTTAACATGCAAATTGTCTTGAATTTATCCTCATTATGCAAATAATTGAGTGTTTCTAATCGTGACTGATTCTGATTTCTTTATGATGTAGTCATTGAGAAATCACACCACCGACTCTGTGTGCACCTCAGTTGATGATATAGCTTCGTTGAAACGAGTAAAAATGTCGACCAAACGAGAGGAGAAATTCACCTGATTTTACCTAGGGTTTGAAGTTGCGAGCGACGCGATCTGTGCATTCTCTTGGGACGAGTCGATATGCCTCAATGACAGTCAGTTAATAGAGGTCCAGCAGACAGCAGCTTCTTCACATTAACAGCTGTTTGTTGCCACGTGTTTCGACTGTATTAATTTTACGTAATTTGTGTTCGTTTGTTTGAAACTAGCCAAAATATGGGAACTTCTATTCTGTTCAGCCAGCTCTGGCTGCAGTTTGCCTCTGATACCCTAACTATACTCTGATCATTGCAAAAACGGTCATCAGGCGTTGTGCAGAACAGCAAGCGAAGATTCATGCATCTTCATGCTTTACGTTGTCTGTGGAGCTGATGCCGGACACCTGTGCTTTTGGTAATCTCTGAAACATCTGGGCTGGGAAGGGATTAGCCCTTTCCACAAAAGTCGTTTTACCTCTCCCTGTTAGATCAAAGTTACAGTATGATATTGAGACAGTTGCTATTCCAAAGAAGCAAGAACGACGGTAGAACCGCGTGCAGCATAATGAGGGTTCAGTGGAAGCACCACATAAGCAATGACTGTCCTCGTTTCTGGGTAGAAGATACCTCAGTAAATATGAAGATAGAGAAAAACCAGTTGGCTCTGTTGGATGGACCAGTGCTCAGAAACCCTTTATTTCAGTCCGCGAGCTTGTCTTGTAGGAGTCGAAACAGCAGATGTTAGCCAAAATGCCAGCACGCAACATGGGGAGACAAACAGAAGCAGATTTAGTTTTGGAGAGGAATTATTCCTGCTACAAAACAGCAACTGGTGCCAAATAGTAAAAATTTTGTAAAACTCCCAGTACTGCAACATCACAGAGCAGAGACATTCTGCTTATGCATACGGCTCAAGGTGGCTCAGGGAATGTGATGAATCACATAGACATCTTCCATATGACAACGCTCATCTGGTTAGGGCAGGGTACAGGTGGGTTTTCGTGCCATGAAATAACCACTTCTCAGCGTTGTACATTGAACAGAATCTCTGGAAGCAATGACAGTGGACTTATCTGCTGGTCTTTGGTTGATAAAAGCCTAATGGAGATATTGATTGATTGATTATTGAACGCCTACCCCATTTCAGCCCTACCCTATCATGCTTGAATGTCGGATGATTGTACTCTGCTTGACTATCGATGCGGAGTTTGATATTGTTTCTCGTTTTATTGCTCATTTTGAGTCTTGAAGCGGATTTCTCGATTCTTCACACATCTCCAGGATAAACTTTGCCATTGTATTGTCATCATTGCTGCACGCTTTACTAAGCTTTACTTAAGATCTCAGAGAGCTGGGTTGATGCATGTGGATCTAGCTGTCTGGAATTCACCTGGAGGGGATTTGAATGCTGATTTGAATCTCAATGAAAA